GCAATGGACCAACTTCACTTCTGATTTTAGTCATTTGCATCTTCTCTTTCTGACCACTCTGGCTGGAGGGTCATCAGCTTTGTTATTTTTCAAGGAACTGGTGTTTGTTTGTCCTTTCTGCAGCGTCTCCACTCCATCCGCCTCTGCTCCTTCTCCTAGCCTGTCTACATCTAATGCAGAGCCAAACATCAACACGTTAATCAATACAATTTTTTGTTGTTGTTGTTTTTTCGAGACAGAGTTTCAGCCGGGCAGTGGTGGCGCACATCTTTAATCCCAGCACTTGGGAGGCAGAGGCAGGCGGATTTCTGAGTTTGAGAGTTCGAGGCTAGTCTGGTCTACAGAGTGAGTTCCAGGACAGCCAGGGCTACAGAGAAACCCTGTCTACAGAAAAACCTAAAAAAAAAAAAAAAAAAAGGAGAGACAGAATTTCTCTGTGTACTCCTGGGTGTCCTGGAACTCACTCTGTAGACCAGGCTGGCCTCAAACTCAGAAATCTGCCTGCCTCTGCCTCCCAAGTGCTGGGATTAAAGGGGTGTGCCACCACTGCCCGGCATGAATATAATTTTTGTTTGTTCTTTAGATGAAATACTAAGTTATTGATCTGAGGTCTTTTCTAATGTATACATTAACAGCTGTAAATTCATAGGAACTACAGATTCAATGATACCCTATAAGTGTGGTTTTAGTGATAGCTTATAAGTGTGGTTTTAGTATGTTTTTGTTTCCTTTTCATTAATCTCAATTTTTCAGTCTCCTTTGACCCACTGGATTTTAAAGAATGTGTTATTTTTGACCTGATTGTAAACTGACCAAATTTCCTTCTATTACTGGCTATTGATTTCATTCCACTATAATCTACCTTCTATGATTTTATTCCTTCCATATTTATGGCCTAACATATGGAGAAACTTTTTATATGCACTGGAGAGGATGCACATTCTGTTGTTAGGATGTTCTGCAGACTTAGTTAGGCCTAGTTAATTTACAGTGCAGCCCAAGTCTTACATTTCCTTCAGGATCTTCTGCCTAATTGTTCTATTCACTACTGAAAGTGGGATATTAAAGCTTCCAACTACTGCTACTATAGTGACTAGTTTCCCCTTTGACTCTGTCAAATTCAGCTCTGTGTATTCTGAGGCTCTGGTTAAGAATCTACAGTTATGGCTTTCGCATTTCTACTTTATGCATTTTCACATAAGCATGAGACATTCATGGACTCTATTATGTATTATACATGTTTCAAAACAGGTAGCTATAATCTAGGGGACAGGTTGCCAGTGTGTTTCTGTTTTTCTTCCAGAAAACAACTACTGTATGTTTCCGGAGCTCCAAGGTCTCAGGTGCAATAACTCAAGCCCCTGGATGCAGCACAGAAACAGTCATGGGAACTACATGGCTGCAGCCACCACTTTCTCTCACTCCTCCTCTTCCAGTAACAGAAACACAGCCAAGTGCCCGGAGCCAAACCCAAGTAATTACCTGCTGTTCTGGGAAATCTAGTCTCAGGTCCCAGGAACTTAAAGAACGTCTGGCATTTCCTAGGAGCTGGTTAAGACAATGGGATGGTCTAGGCCAATAAGCATATGACAGTGGGATGGTCTTGGGCAATAAGGATATGACAGTGGGAGGGTCTAGGGCAATAAGCATTCAATAGTGAGCTAACCCTAAGCAATGACCCTCACCCAAACTTCCTGGTTTGCTGCGTCTTTATAACCTGCACCCGAAATTCAAGCTTCAGAGCTTGATCAGAACTCCATCCAGACTTGCTCTCATTCCTTGTGTCTCATTCCCTTCATTGTTTCGCTCCCTTCCCTAAGGTCTCGTCGAATCCCCACGGGACGGGGCAGCCAAGTATTTCCTTTACAAATTATACTATTACCATAGAAGTGATAGAAAGCATCTTAAGGGTTTTGTTGTTTTGTTTTGTTTAATGGTGGGATGAGTTAGAGAATTACTGGAAACAGATCAACAAAAGCACTTCCCTGGGATTCGGAAACAGTCATAGTCCACAGCAGAGGGACAGACAGGCTGAGTCACTGCAAATGATGGAAAAGGTAACAAATCGACTTCCTGACCTTTGTTCCACTGACAGTAACCGACAGAGCTTGCCTTTCTAAATAAACAACTTTCTTCATACATTTCTGGGTGACATCAATATTGAGCTGTCTCACCCAAACATCACCGCAGGCTGGGGTATAAAGGAAGAGCTGGGATCACAATTAAGCTGTTTATGAAGCAGACATGTTTTATTCAAGCATCATCAGGGTTTATTAACCTCCATCTGGATGTCCTTATGCAAGGCATCCATTCTACCAATCACTGACGCTTCCCTTTCTTTTCCCTTCCTTCTTCTTCTCGATTCCTCCCTCCCTCTCTCTCGCCTTCCCTTTCTTTCTGAGACAATTCACACTGTAGCCGAGGCTTGCCTTGAACTATTAGCCCAGGCCATCCTTGAATTTACAGTGATCCTCCCACCTTTGCCTCCCATGTGCTGGAATTACAGGCATGAACCACCACACCCCGTTTCCTACTGCTTCTTATCATCAAATACCACTTGACATTTTCTCCCTGCTGGCCAGTGAAGGCCTTTTAAGTTTGTATCACAAACATCCAATTAAAGGGAAATTACTGTTGTCTATATGCTATGATCTGCTGTATTATGAACTGAGGGCTCTCTGATCTACTACTAATGTTTCTATGTATACTTTTATAAAATTATTCTTCTTAAAAATGTTTTATTCTGGGACAACAAGATTTCTTTCCACCAAGCCTTATGACCTGGGCTCAAACCCACATGCTGAAGGAGAGAACTGTAGGGGGAATCTTTTGTCTAATGTGTGAAAGCTTCAGTAAAAGGCTATTGGCCTATGAGCTGAGGCAGGAAATAGGGAGGTAAAAGTTCTGATACAGATAGAGGACTTTTGGGATAGTCAGAAGCAAGGAGATTCGCCCAAGAATGCTGATGGTGACAGAAGCATCAAACTGAAGGAGAGGTGACTTGTCATGTGGCACTCCGAATGGAATGAATGGGATTACTGAGATAGGAGCTATTTGGGGAACAAAGCCAAAGTAATTGGCCCAGCCATTTATTCATATGTAATTCAGTCTCAGGGTCACTATTTCTGAGAGGAAAAAGGTGCTAAAGCCTACAGTTAGAGAGAACTCACTCCTGAAAGTTGTCTTTTGACCTGTGCTCACACATACATGCACATACACAAACACACACACGTCAACACAATTAAGTAAATAAATAAATAAATAAATAAATGTCCTGTTTTTAATGACCTATCACCCGGGAACATGTTCATAATTCATAGCTTATAACATAAATATTCAGAAGCAAATAGAAGGAATTTCACGAGAATGCCAGGCTGTTTTACTGAGCGATGGGATGATGGACTCTAGCCCGTGCCCACTTGCCAAACCTGAGGATGAATGTATCACATACGACATGGAGGAAGGCACCTGGAACATTCTGAGAGTGGGAGGATCGCTGACGGCATTACCAGTAGCGTCTGATCTGGAGAGGCAGGGTCTACTCTTCCCTGTACCACACTGCTGCTGCCTGCCATCTTCACGAACTCAAACCACATCCATTCAAAACACCCGTATGGCTTGCTAAGGGGTAAATTCCAAATCCTATGTCTCCTCTCACTGCTCGGCCCAAACCTGCATCTTCTTGGTTTAAACTCCTCCTCATAACCAATCAGACTTTTAAACTGGCTTTGACTCAACTCATAGGAAGAAATGCATCTTCTAGATATACGTTACTTATACAGTATGAATGCAGGTTGTGAGTTATTCACAGCATCCCTGTGTGAAATGTGGAAATCACTGGCTGTCCGTCATGAGGCTTTCTCTCCCACTTAGCTTTCAGCCAAGGTCTTTCCCACTTTGTCGAAACCAGGTAGGAAAGACCTACCCTTCTTCTCTGTGTCTTCACATAGCCAGCCCATACTGGCCTCTCAATACTCAACTCAAATGTCATTTCAGAGAAACCTTTTTTAGACATTGCCCCAGTCACCATGTTACCATCCTCAGAAGTCTCAGGGTTTAGGAGCGACAGTATTTAGCATGTACAATGAATAATAAAGGCTTTTTTTTTTTTTAAAAAAAAAAAAAAAAAAAAGCAAGTCAATTGGCTATGAGTTAAGTTTGGAACATCCTAGTTTTTCAAGGCCCAAAACAGAGTCTGGGAGGTGGTAGGGGTATGTGATTTAGTTGGTAGTTTGTCTAGTAGGCACGATGCCTTGCCTTCTATCTCTAGCAGTACACAACCAGGCATGGCAACACACACTTGTAACCCCAGCTCTTGGGGGATGTGGGTACGATGTTCAAAAGTTCAATCCCTAGCTTACCTAGTGAGTTTGAGACCAACTACATGAAACCTTGTCTTATAAAAAAGGTTGGGAGTGGTGTTAATGTGAATACATATAAACCCCTCGAATCTTGAATGACTACCTCCCCTACATTCAAACTCCCTTAGCTGTGCACTGGCCAATTAGTCTTCTTTCTAGTCCTGAAGGACACAAGTCTTAACTATTTAAGAATCCTACCTGTGCCTTCTCTAGGGCAAGAAGAACACTGGCTCTTCAGCTCTTCAGACCAATCAACTACTCTCAGAGAAGCTGTCTGCCCAATTTCTCCTCCCATCTCCTTTGACTTGCCATTTCTCCCTGAGATTTTCATTTGTGTATTTCTCTGCCTTCCGAGCTCTGCTTGAGCTTTGAGGGGACACATCTACAGAAAGGGTACCGTTACCTTCAGCACTTGGACTGGTTTGCAATATGGTAACAGCAGGAGTCCTGCAAAAACCAGCAGAGCGGGAGAAGACGCAGACAAAGCCACGGAAGTCTTAGACAGGCGTCTTCAAGCCTGCTCAGGACTTGTGGGGTCGTTGGCAGAAAAGACCACAAACAACAGATACACAAGGCCAGACCCAGGGTTGGGAGACAGGGAGGGAGCAGAGGCACCAGGCACCATGTTCCAGGGCCTACCAGTAATAAGTGACTGTACAGGCCGTGCACATCCGCTCGGCCGGGGCTTCGCACACCTCACAGCAGAGCCGGCGCCCCTTGGGCACCGCCAGCGGGTAGATCACGTTCATGGTGCGCCCAGCTGGCGTCAGTCTCTAGGACGGTTGCCTGGCTAACAGACGCGAGTCTGAGGTGTCACGTGACAACCGCGGGCCAGCCCGGATGTCAGGATTTCAAGGGCAAGGGGGAGGGGCGGGACTAACAGCGGCAACCAGGGAGAGGAGAGCACAAACTCTAAATTTCCAAGGTTAAATGGCCAGAACTTGTTTGCAATGTAGCTGGAGCTTGGGGAGAGCTATACGGTGGCCGGCATAGGTCAAAAACAACCATTTCGTTTTCCAGACTAGGAAACCCACAGGACGTATCGTTTTCCTGGATTTTTGGGAAAGGTACTTCCTCTAGACGCTTTTCGACGGGCTCTGACAGAACAGCCAAGCATTTCAAGCCTTGGAGAGGTCATGACCTAGTAGCGGGCATAGGAAAGGAAATGCCCACAGTCACTATTTGCGGCTGCGCGCAGCTCAGGTATCCGGAAGGGGGCGTGGCGCCAGCGGACCGGCGTGCCGGGACGCCGTGGTTCTAGCGTAGGGTGACTACGGTGCAGATGGCGGAAATGGACCTGGAGGCTGAGTTGCCGCGTCCGGCTGGTGCTGCGCGCTGGGCCGAGGTTATGGCTCGCTTTGCGGCCAGACTGGGCGAGCAGGGCCGGCGGGTGGTGCTAATCACATCTGGAGGCACCAAGGTCCCCCTGGAAGCGCGAGCCGTGCGCTTTCTGGACAACTTCAGCAGCGGGCGACGCGGGGCAACGTCGGCGGAGGTCTTCCTGGCTGCGGGCTATGGGGTCCTGTTCTTGTACCGAGCGCGCTCGGCCTTCCCCTATGCCCACCGCTTTCCGCCCCAGGCCTGGCTGTCAGCCCTTCGGCCTTGTGGCCCAGTCCAGTCGGGCAAGCTGAGTCTAGAGGCCGAAGAGAATGCACTCCCGGGCTTTGCTGCAGCGTTGCAGAGCTACCAAGAGGCAGCTGCTGCCGGCACCTTCCTGGCTGTAGAATTTACCACTTTGGCGGATTACCTGCATCTGCTGCAGGCTGCGGCCCTGGCTCTCAGTCCATTAGGTGAATGTTCTAAGGAATCCAAAGGTTTCTTGGCTGTAGAGCCATTCTCCCTAGCCTCTTTTCCCTCATGCTTGCTGTCCACAACCTAGGAACCCAAGTTGAAAAGAAAGGATTCCATGCCTTTCCCCGATTTCTTAAACTCCGTTTTTCTTCTCAGGCTCTTCTGCGATGTTTTACCTGGCCGCGGCAGTGTCAGATTTCTATATTCCTGTCTCCGAAATGCCTGAACACAAGATCCACTCATCTGGTGGCCCACTGCAGGTGATGGGCTCTTCTCTTCCAGAGATCTGACCCCCTTATAACCAATCTTGGGTTACTTTCTTCTTGCTCTGGATGGCCTTTCAGCATTCTGTATGAGCTAGGCACTGGGAATACAGAGATGAATAAGACACTGCTCTCCCTCAAGGATCTCACAATCTAGCAAGGGCCTGGACACCAGCCCTAATCACAGATCAGAATGATAAATGCTGTAGTGGAGGTATGTACAAAGTGCAGTCAGATCCCGGGGTAGTGAGATGGGGGAGTAAAGGTGATGGAGGTGACTCATCAAAAGATGGGCAGAGGGCCTGACCAAATGGGGAAGGTTGTTCTAAGTGGAGTTTGCAATTGGGTAACATTCTGTGAACTAAAGTGCTTTGGTAAGGCTAAAGAGGCAGCCTGCCTCCTTGTATACACAAATTTTGTATTCCTTAAGACCCTTCGACTTTATCTTGTGGAGGTTGGAGACACCAAGGTGGAAGAAAAGACAATAGTTGTTTGGATGCAACGGCCCGTACCTTTAATTGCAGCCCTCCAGCAACAGATGGGCTCTGTCATTTCAAGGCTAGCCTGGTCTACCTAGTGAATTACAGGCCAGCCAGAGCTGCACAGTGAGATACTATGTCAAATAAATAAATGTAAAAGGTTTTGTTTGTACAGAATATCCTAGCATTTTGGAACTAGGAAGTAGAGGGGATAAATGAGGCTATTGTAGCTTCAGGAAGAAGAGTGGGAGTCTAGTGTCACTGCTGAGAACTGAAGGTGATTTGTGGGCTGATAGAAGTAGTATTTGATGAAACTATCTGAGGGGCACCTTTAGGATAGTTAAGTTATACATTTCAGAGTACCTACTGTGTGCCAAGTGTTATTGTGGAAGAGAAATACACTAGTAGTTGCCAGTATTACACTCAGTCTGCAGGAGAATCCCGGATGCACACAGGTGGTGAATGCCAAGAAGAGAGCTCGTGTGTGATTCCTGTCACACTTGTGTATGATTCCTGTCACACTTGCAGACAAAACTCACACTTATTTCAAATCCTGGGATCTCTAGTTTATCCCATTTTTATTTTTCTTGAGAATATCCAGAATGACTTAGTATTCCCCTTTGGTCGTATAAGGTTTAGGAAACAGGGAAGGAACTTTAATCAAGTGAAGACCAAGTCAACAAATGAAAAAAAAAAAAGTAAGTAGAAATCAGTAGCCTCTCCCTTGAGCATATGACATGTTTTAGACTGAGTGGTTTAAAACCCAGTATCACTGGACTCCTGCCAAAGTAAATTTTTCACGAACAAATTATAGTTATCTTCAGATTTGCTTTTTAAAAAATAAAAGAGATGAATACGATTAAAATGCAATGTATGAAGTTCTCAAAGACTTAAAAATATTTAAATGAGTTAAAGGAGGTGCCAGGCATGGTGGCAGCTCACACATCTCATCCTAGCGCTCTGGAGACTGGAGGGTAGATCTGAATTTGAAGCTAACCTGGCCGATATACCAAGCTCTAGGTCAGCCAGGGCTGCGTAGGGAGACACTGTCTTTGAAAATAGAGAAATAAAGGGGAATGTTTGTAGAACTGTAATGAAAATGGCAGAACAGCACTGGTTCACAAAACATACATTGCAGCAAAAGTAGATGTTGGGCACCAAATTTAGGCTTCAGTATGAACCTAAATGAACCTACAGAACCCAGTCTTTGGCATTTAGTATGCTGCAAGAAGTTTCCTAACTATAAGAAAGCCCACCTTAGGCCAAAGTCAGTCCTTGATTGCTTGGGTCTCTGTAGGGACTGACCAATGTTTATTTACTGAACTTTGTGTGCTTTTTCTGATACAGATAACATTGAAGATGGTGCCAAAGATGCTTTCCCCTCTGGTTAAAGATTGGGCTCCCAAAGCATTTATAGTTTCGTTTAAGCTGGAGACAGACCCGGACATCATAATCAGTCGGGCTCGGAATGCTTTGGAAGTTTACCAGCATCAAGTAGTGGTGGCGAATATCCTGGAGTCAATAAAATCCTTTGTGATTATTGTAACCAAAGACTCAGAGACAAAGTTACTGCTGTCTGAGGACGAGGTAGCAAAAGGCATGGTGATAGAAGAGAAGATAGTAGAGGACCTTCGGTCTCGACACACAGCTTTTATATGTGACAAAAACTGAAGGAAATGCTCCTCTAGGATCAAAAACCAGGGTTCTTACCACTGATAGGAGCTAAGATTAATCCTCTGTTAAGGATAAACACAATGAAAAATAATAAAAGTGGTGTGCAGGCAAATGCCTGTTGGGATTTCAGTTCTGTGAGTGAAACACTTGACACTCACCTTGACCTGGAAAGTGAACAAGAATTCACAAAGATGGCTGGGATTCCGTGTTCTGCAGAGCAGATTGGACTGGAGCTGCTGTATGCCCACCTGCTGTACAATGGAAGGGTTGTGGTGCATGAATGGCCATGCTCTGAATTTATTTATCAAGTGCCTACCATGTGCCAGGGTCTTTGTGAGCTTTGAGGGTCTGAAGGATGAATGAGCATATCTTATTCAGGAACCGGATGTACAAAAATTTATGTGCAATAAAGTTTGTGCCCACAAAGGGATACTTGGGAAAGATGGGTTTCTGGTTTTTTGTTGTTTCTTTTAAGATTTAATTATTTCATGTGTTTTGAGTGTTTCTGCTTGCAAGTATTATATACCATGGGTATGCAGTACTTTTGGAGGCTAGAAGAGGGAATCAGATCCTCTGGAACTGGAGTTTCAGAGGTTGTGAGCCTCCACATGGGTGCTGGGATCAAACCTGGGTCATTTAAAAAGAAATAGGTGTTTACTAAAACAGGAATAAGGCAGATACCTCCCTAAAGGTGGTCTGTAGATCACAGACCTCTCTACATCTACTTTTTGCCTCTTGTCCTAGATTTATTCCATATTTAAGTAACACTTTTCAAATATTTTAGAACTGTTCTTCAGGTAAATAACTACCCTTCCACTTGGGCCCTGGCAGGAGCCAAATGGCTTCTTCCCTGAGGGAGCTGTTACCTTAATAAAGTGTGGGGTTTGGATAGCCAGCTGGGCATTCTACTAGTTTCATGAATGAGGCCCTTGACTTAATCTCAGTTTATGTATCTATAGTGTAGGAATAAACAAAGTAATGCAAAGATAGGCCATGGGTCTCGTGTCTGGCACTTCACACTCAGTATGCTGGTGCAATTACCGTTCTTTCTCAGTGGATCAGGCCAACACATTTGATCACTGAGTCCCTGAGAAACTTAGAAATTCTCACTATCCTGTTTTGGAGTAAGGGTATACACCTAATGCAGAAAAATCTCCAGTAAGTGAGCCACAATACAGACCTGAATACAGTTGGGAGGGGGATGTTAATTATGTAGAAGTAAGTAGTGTTCTAGATAAATTTCAGTTAGGGACCGGTGGTCAGATTTAGTGGCTGAGCACTTGGCTAGCGTGTGCAGGCCTTGGGTATTATCAAGAACAATGTAAAGACCTGGCTTACAGTACAACTCTTCATGCAGTTGTTGAGGCAGAGAGTTTCTGTTACGATGTAAACAGAAGTGGCAGGATAAGTAGAAACTGAAATTTGGAAGTGTGGCTTCCAGCACAAGACAGTTTATTGTGCAGCCAGGATTGAAAACAGTCTCTGAGCACACAGTTGAGATGAACTTTGGGTCTAGTTGGCAAAACTTCCAAGACAACAGGCTTCGCCACTGGTACAGTGCTGTAAAAGATTGACTTTCCTCTACACCCACAGCCTTGGGTGCTGCTGACTTATCTGTACGGTGGATCTGTGCTGCTAGAACTAGGTGATCTTCATGATAATATTCAGGAGGGATCCACTTCAGATTGTTTTATTAAAGCTCCAAAACAATCATTAAGTTGTTTTATGGACTCACTGACGTTTTTCCCTTCAGTTTATTGTCTGTTCTGAGAGCTTAAAAATAGTATTTACCAGGTCTTGTGTGATTTGTGCATGTGTCTGTGTTTTAGCAAAGGGAAACAAGCAGGCATTTGATCTGGATTGGAGGACCAAGGAACCTTTCCTGAGAAGGTGATGCTGAAACTGATCAGTGGGAGTGGGTTGTGATGGAAGTGAGCATTTTAGATCAAAGAGGGAGAAACACTTTCAAGGCCAAGGAAGAACTAACAGAAAATAGGGAATGCTATTCAGATGATGGTCCCCAGATGATCCAGAAGGAGGGGCTGGCAGCTAGAGTAAGACTAAGAAATGTAAGTGGTGTTTCAGATACCAGCAAAGCAAAAGCCTCCAAAAAGAGAACCTCCAAAAATCCAAACACTTGGACAAGCACCTGGAGTCTTGCAAAAAGAACATCTGAAGATTTAAGTTGAGCCTGTGCTAAAATGTATCATTTTAAATACTTCAGGGCTGGAAGGAGAAGACACAGTTACTAGTATTTGCTGTTCATGAAGAGGAACCAAGATCCATTCCCCACACCCACAAGGCTCCCAGTGACTGGAACTCTAGTTCCAGATCTGGTGTCCTCTTTTGGCCTCCTTGGGCTCTAGCATGCATGTGATGCACATTAACTTATCAACATAAACCTACATGCACATAAATCTTTTTCTAAAAGTATTTATTTTGCATTCTATAAGAAGCCAAACAATTGTCAATGCTTAGTTAAGCTTCCTTAAGGGTTCCAGCCTTTCTGGTCAAGCTTTAATAAAACAATCTGAAGTGGATCCCTCCTGGATATTATCATGAAGATCACCTAGCTCTAGCAGCACAGATCCACCGTACAGATAAGTCAGCAGCACGCAATGCTGTGGGTGTAGAGAGGAAAGTCAATCTTTTACAGCACTGTACCAGTGGCGAAGCCTGTTGTCTTGGACGTTTTGCCAACTAGACCTAAAGTTCATCTCAACTGTGTGCTCAACTGCCGATATACACAGTATCCTGCCTTTTTTTTAAAAGGCGAGGTTTCATTCTATAGCCTAGGGGGCACCGACTAGAATTTACTGTATAACACTAGCTGGCTCAAACTCAATTCTGCCTCACTCTCCTGTGCGTGAACTCACATCCAATTTTTGAAGTCACTTACAGAGAAATAAATATAAGGAGATAGGTTGAGCTTAGAGGGAAACAATTCAAGAACTAGAACCCTATGTTTACTCGCAGCCTGTGAATTATATGGACGCGGTACTGTTGTCATGGTTACTGTCGTCTCCGGAGCCAATGGGGTAGTCTGTAGATCCTGGAGGCCAATGGTGTGGGCTGTAACAACAATCATCACAGGAAGAACCGCCCGGGCACCCAAAGCGTGTGCGGTCTCCATGGCTCCCGCCGAGCACGCGCCTGCGCGTCCCCCACTGAGCGCAGTTGCCATGACAGCGGCTGGGTGCCTGGAGCTGAGCTACCCCTGCTCCTTCTGCGCGCTCTCAGATCTGTTCTTCCCGTGGTGCACATTTCAGATCTCTTAGAATTCCCAGTGAGCTCCTTCACGCGGTGCTGGCGAGCTTCGGCGTGCCCGGCCCGGTAACGGTTCGCCCAGGAGAAGCGTGCTCCTGACTGTCCCCGAAGGTCCCGACGGCCACAAAGGCCCCAGAGACACCGTTGTGCCCTGCGCGCGGACCGAGGGAAAAGACTGTGGGGCTAGCTTCGTCACGCGCTACCTTGCATCCGGATGAAGCTCTGCAGGCCTTTGGTGACACCAGCATTCGAGGTCATCAAGTCAGTTGCCTTCTGCCTTTCAGCCTTCAACTCCATCCACTTCTCTCACCATCGAGCACCGGCTCCTTTATCTTGTTTACCCTACAACCATCTCACCCTTCCCTGTATGCGCTGTGCATTGTTGAATATCTTCACCATTCTGTCACCTATAGGCCATCTCCTTCCGCTTCCCTTTGCATGGCTGTACATTTCTCATCCTTCAGCCCTGCAGTCCCTGTAAGGAGTTTCCGTTTCTCTGCACTGTTGCAAATTCTCTGACTTGGGAGAACTTGAGATAGACGAAGTAAACGTTGCAAATACATACATTAGGCTGTTGCAAACCTATTGTATTTTGATTTTGTTTTTTGTTTTTCGAGACAGGGTTTCTCTGTATAGCCCGGGCTGTCCTGGAACTCACTCTGTAGACCAGGCTGGCCTCGAACTCAGAAATCCGCCTGCCTCTGCCTCCCAAGTGCTGGGATTAAAGGCGTGCGCCACCACTGCCCGGCTGTATTTTGAAAATAGAAAAAAATTAAATGTCAGTTCTGAACTTCTTGACAGTCGTATATACACATACCATATGTGAAAGTTTAAGTTCTCTTCCTTGTTAAGTACTGATTAGACACAAATTTAAACAATATGTTCATACTTGTAAAAATGTCATTCAAAAATGACCGCATAGCAGAATTCTGACTTTTAGGCCAAAGTACATCCAACACCCGGGGATTGTGGGATTTGCCAGAGTGGGGATACTTGAAACTGTTCGTGTGTGTGTGTCTTTTTTTTTTTTTTGTCTCAGTTTCTAAATTAGAAAACACTTTTGGTGAAGAGAATCAATCAAGAGCAACTTAACGTATTTTTGGCAAAGGAGCAGGCCCAGTGGCCCTTAAAAAAAAAAAAAAGACTACTACAGAAATTCTAAAGTGCAAAATGGAATAATTTAGATCCAGTGAAATTTTAGCCTGGAAAGTATTATTTAAGTCATACTTTGGCTGGGCAGTGGTGGTGCACACCTTTAATCCCAGCACTTGGGAGGCAGAGGCAGGTGGATTTCTAGTTTGAGGCCAGCCTGGTCTACAGACTGAGTTCCAGGACAGCCAGGACTACACAGAGAAACCCTGTCTCAAAAACCAAAACAACAAAAAAAGTCATACTTTGGTCTCATAATATACATCCCGTGTTGGTTCTTACTATTGCTTTCTCAGTGTTCCGGTTTAAGGGTTTGTTTGAGGAGCAGTAATTTTACATTTTAAACGGGTACATTGTGGGTTATAATATTTTGATATCTCAGACCAAGTAAAGCAATTAAAGCAGTATTTCAGACGTCTCATGCTGAGGTCAGTTCTGACTTTGAAATGGTGAAAAACTCAGTTCTCTGTACTAAATTAGAAAGGACAATGTTCTTCAGCTTTTCTAATTTTTCACATCAAATAAAATTAAGTAGAAACATTTGGGAGGAAGAGGCAGGTGGACCTCTGTGAGTTCGAGGGCAGCCTGGTCTACAAATCGAGTATAGGCCAGCCAGTGCGCTGTTACACAGAGAAACCTGTCTTGAAAAACAAAACAAGGAGGAGGGGGAAAAAGAAAGAGAAGGAGGAAGGGGAGGAAGAAGAGGAGGAAGAGGAGGGAGCAAACCACAGAGGCAATTAGGTTTTCTTTTACGAGGTGCTTCCTCCTCCGATAAGTATTGGGCAAAAATTATGACAAAGTTAAATTATAGTCTTTTCCTATTCTCCTCTAACAGTCCTAAAGCAGGGGTGAAGTGAGGAGATTTTGATTTATGGGGCATTTGCAAGGCATGGAGTCACATGAGTCATGGGTTGTACTACCAGAGCCTAGTCAGTAGCAGCCAGGGATTCCGTGATACATCCTATGACATACAGAACATCTCACTTAATAAAGAATGGTCCCACCTAAAGTGCAAACAGTGTCAG